TACTAAACCCAACAAAACGGGTTTCGTAGGAGATTATTACACCATAACTAATATATTCAGATAAAGACACTTATTTAAGACATAAGAAGGTACCTACGAACATCTATGCTTATACATATGTATGTAAGAAACGATTTCGAATTAATTATGACAAAATTTCGATTGTGTAATGACAAGAATCATCTTTTTTTGAGTTGGTCGGATAAAAATTAACAGTTATTAATTTTTCTAGCCGCCTTTCGGGATCGTCGGAAATAATTAATCAACATGGAAGACTGAAGATGTGTACCCACCTAGTAGGTGCATTTGTTCATGTATTTCTTAATAAGAAACGTGTGAAATGAACAATGTCAAGTAGGCGTTACAAAACATTTGTATTTGGGTACTAATTATCTTTGCAAAATTTAATTTGTAATTCAAATGCTTACATTTGAAACACTGTTTTTATAAGAAGCGTTAACATAACAAAAGAAAGATTACATTAGGTTTTCATTGCCTTATAGGTATAATAAGTATTAAGCAAATCGTGTTTACAAAAATTGATGTTTGCACATCAAAATTACACATACGAGCGAATGAAATTGGCGATTTATGAATTGGATTCTTGTGCCAACGGTTTCGTACCCATCAAAAGAAAGTAATTTTATATGTCATTTTCTTATGAGATTATTGATAGACACAACTTGTTTAGTTTGATAGTAGTCATTAAGTTATTACGTTTCTCCCTAGGTATATATTATTATTACTTTATGTTATTCGAAAAAAAATCGGTTAATAACAAAAGTAATTTCGATGAATATCTCTGACGGTGTATGGGGATTGTCTTGATATTTATTGTAAGTACGTCATACGCTATATTGTACAGGGTGTTTCTGAAATAAGTAGCGAGGTTGCAGGAGGTGATAGGGCACCATAAATAAGAAAATGAAGTAAATGGTTAGTAGTCCGAAAGTCGACCGTTTTCCAGAGAAACGTATTTGAAAGTACAGTCCGGCCCTGGTAGAAACGCGGCATCGCAACGCTGCATTCAATCAGCTGCAGCATCCGTGTTGTACGAGTACTTCTTTATTTATTGTGTATTCTTAATACCATGTGGAGGTGTACTTTAAACAGTACTGAATACTATCAAAGATAAACAAAGTAGTTATTTAATTAAATGTTATCGCAATGGTTATCTGAAGATGTAATACTCAGTTTGCTGTTGATGTTTACTTTATTAATCGTTCCGCAACAGTCATTGTTTACATATTTGGTCGATGTGGTTGCATAATTTTTATCGCAATTTCTCTATACGTTAAGAATTCACGCCCAGGGCCGGCTTTGGATTGCAACTTCGTCCGGTTTTCTTACAATTTCTTTTGTCTCTTCCACGCTGTTTTACTCATAATAGGATTCCCTATTGGATTTAGTTAACATCCTGAAAAGTTTGCTACTTATTTCAGAAATACCCTGTATAGAGTAGCTTAAATTATTTTTATAATCACCAATAGTGAAACTGTTTAAAAAAATTTCTGTTGAAAGTTCCTTATTATATAATGGTAGGAAATATAGATGACTTAAGAAACCGTGTATCTTTTACGAATAAATTATTAACTTTATACTTAGTGTCGAATTATAGTGTAACTTTAAATTATACAGGTAAAGGTACCAGTTACTTAAAATACAGAATTTGTTATTTTATGTCTTATATAGAAGACCCTAATTGAAAATACGTTTGATTTTGGGAAGGTATCTCTATTATCTACGGATTTTCAGATGTATTTAGTCTAGTTTAGTGGTTTTATTAAAATGCACGATCATTACGATAAATTAACTTTAGTTAGTGTCTTGAAACAAATTAAAGGAGATAAGTATTTCACATTTTAATTGCTGTAAGATGACAGAGACTTTTTCGAGATTATTTGGGCATTTGTTGTTGTTAACAATTAAAAATGTTTCGAGGCTTAGCTGTTTATTTTTTTGAAGAAATAAAAGAAGTATCTAATAATTCACTTGTGGTAAAAGAATAGTTAGCTGCGCAAATCGTCGATAATGTTCAATTTCTTCAAGATTTTCTTCTTATTATTAGTTGAAAACTAAATAGATTGATTTGTTATAGGTAAATTAATTGATATCACGTATCAGGACTTTTTCTAAAACAACATTTTATATTGGTAATGACTTAAAACGATCCAAGTCATCTATACATAGGTCCATATCCTGATACTCCTGAACACAAATAGAAAATCATGATGACGACAACACTCACTTCATTTGTTTTATCATTTACTATAGCGACCCGCCCCAGCTTCGCACGGGTGCAATGCTGATACTAAATATGTGCATTTTTGTTTTGTTTAGATTATTATCGAGAAGGAGAAATTTTCAAAAGATACCCCCTGAACATATTAAATATACTACAGAATGTCTTTATATACAACATTTACAGTTTTTTTATGTCATTAGATAATACAAACCCGCAACCGCTATGTCCCTGCATTTTAAATCTGTAATATCTTCGAAAATATTCATTTAAATTACATGCTGTAAAGGGCCATATTGATCTATATTAAATTCACAATGTATTTGAGGTACTTAATTAGATAAAAATTAATGCTGTATTGCTTACAACCGCTTCATAAATAAGTCATTATTTCTCATAAAAAGTAAAGGATAAAAATGGCTATTGTGGGTCATCCCTAAGAGATAGACATATACCATCCCGGACTTTTTTGTAGACCCTTTCAAGATATACAATATTGTAGTACATTATTTTGATCTATCTCGTAGGGTTCAGCCAGCGTTTGCAATGTAAGCGCAAAAAATGTGTTTATTTACGACATCACATTAGAAACCTCTAAAATTATCAGCGTTTCCCTGCTATATTATGCATGTATTATACATATAAACCTTCCTCTTGGATTACTCTATCTTTTAAAAAAAACCGCATCAAAATCCGTTGCGTAGTTTTAATGATTTAAGCATACATAGAGACAGACAGCGGGAAAACGACTTTGTTTTATACTATTTAGTGATTACAAGGTTGCGGTCAGAAAAGACAACACGAACGAGGGGAATGTTGTCTTGGTGATATCCTTTCTTTTGTTTACAGAAATATGAACCTGTGTGTGATTTCCCGGAATGGAAGGCTTTTCTTTTTAAAACACCTACCCCTCCCAATTGTAAATTATTATTCATAATTAAGTCATTTAAAGTAATTTCTAAGAAAAACGTTATTTTGAAATGGTTAAAAAAGTGTTTCTTAAGTTACACACATTTTCTTTGTTAAATGAAAATTGATGTAAGTGACGGTTTCTTGTTGCGTTATTTACTTTCTTTATTTTAGAAACTTACATAGGTGGGTACATTACATATTATAACATTATTTGTTGAGACATTACAGTTGATGTTTTTTGCGTTATTTCCTTACAAAACTGGCAGTTAACCTTCTCGTTATTTCAAAGATTGAAAGTATGTTTGGATAGGTAAAAGAAAAAAACAAAAGAGTCTATTTGAATTTAAAATTTACCGCAAGCAGTAACCTAATATAAATACAACTTTCAAATCAACAGCAACCTTGCTTTTGACAGGGAATGCTATTCTGCCAATAATGCCTCCCATCATCTACCATACGATCAATAACTGTTGGCTTAGTACAATGTATGATACATTTATTATTGTAAATGTCAAAGGCATTTTGAAGGAAATTTCAAAAAGTTTTGAATTATTCACAAGATCAAATCCAAGGTTGATTAATTTATGTTTATAGGGAGGATTAAAAGTAATTAAAACAGTATTATCTAAAGTTCTTGGTGAGTAATCTATCGATGCTAACAGATGTGTTTCGCGATTTCGAATTTATTAGATCTCATCAGTACGCCACAGACGGTCTCGATAATCACATACCAAACGGAAAGAATTCTTCGTAGACAAGTTAATATATATGATGAGAAATAAACTTCTTGTATAAAAAAACTTAAAAGTGAATCATTTAACTTAATTTATTACCATTTAAATTCCACAAATGGCGCAGTAAGCGCCATCTGTAGCACGATGCTAGATTTTAGGATTACGTATACTCCAACAAGGTCCATTTCAACGTGATAGGCACGTTACCATAATCGAATAAAATAATTCGAAGTGGTCTCTGTATTCTGTCGAAACTGCCAGACGCGGATTGCGACTTCGATCTTTTTGGATCTCATCAGCGCGTCGCAGGCAGCTCCGACAGAACACAGACCAACTTTTACCTGCTGTCTTAACAGTGCGTTTTAGAAAATTCCACAAATGACGCAGTAAATTATTGTATTCGATTAAGCTAACGTGCCTATCACGTTGAGGTTGGCTACGCCGGGATTCGTTTTCAGCAAGTAGATATCCACACAAGTGGACCTTGTTGGAGCATACGTAATCCTAAAATGTAGCATCGTACTACAGATGGCGTTTACCGCGCCATTTGTGGTATTTTCTAAAACGCGCTGTTAAGACAGCAGGTAAAAGTTGGTCTGTGTTCTGTCGGAGCTGCCTGCGACGCGCTGATGAGATCCAAAAAGATCGAAATCGCGATCCGCGTCTAGCAGTTTCCACAGAATACAGACCACTTCGAATTATTTTATTTTTACCATTTAAATTCTCCAAAAAATATTTAGAATTATTGTTCTCGCAATTATGTGGGTCAAATATCGTAGAAATTTAGTGTTAAATGAGTTACAAAAGTAAATAGGTATTGTAGCTTCATTTAAAAATAAAAATAAAATTTTAAGATTTATCGAAAATAATAAAGAAAAAGTTTCACAAACAATAGAAAAATACTCCATTAGCCTATTTTAAGCAATTTACCCAGTAGCTTTAACTGACGAAATTTCTTCGTCAAATTTCCGTTTCTATAATTGTAGAATGATCATTCAGATCACAAATTCTTAACTTTCAGACGCATGATAAAGACAAAAAGGGGTTAAATTTTCCTTGGTTTGCAGAAATTTCTTTTTCAAACGTACTCACGGTGGAATCATATTTCTTACCTTGCTGGATTTTGAGGACGGTGGAGCTGCAACAACATAAAAGGGTTGATTTGACGTGTGCTTTCCCAACCACGAACTTATGAACTGATCTTTGCTTGCTTCTGGGATGAAGTCTTGGGAAGGTTCGTCAACCCCTTTAAAGCAGGGGCAGACATTTTTCGCCGTTTTATACGCACATATGGCTGCACATAAACACTCTAGTCCACACGACATTATTAATCCTGCGTTACATAAAAGCTGTAGGTAGTTTTCTGGTAGTTCTTCCATAATCTGTAAAGGAAAGGTCATTAATATGGGTTCGCGCCTTTTTAATAAATTACAATTAATAAAATTGATTAATCCTTTTATTGATAGTGTAGGGATATAACAGTAACGTTAACAGGGACGTGTAAATATAACGATTTATTAAAAGAAACAAGTTATAAAATGAATAAGATTAACTTAACAGAACATGGAAGCTTTAAATGAATGAGCCAAGCCCACACGACGTCTTACTTTTTCGAGAGTTATTATTCGACTCCCCCTTCCGTCCTTTTTAAAATTGTACAGTACTCAGTACTTCTTGACCGTCCCAGAGGTCTTTTTCTGGATCTGGCTGCTACATGTATATTTTCTTAAATATAAGTAAATAATTCTTATGACCATAACAACTTAAAATTTAAACATTAAGAACTAACTTATTCTAAGACACGTCTGCATACTACAATAGTGAACGCTGGTACTTGATGAAACGAGTTATTAGTCGTGTAAAATGTAACGAAAAATTGCTTTTGGTTGTGTTTTATTTTTTCGTTGCTCAGAAAAGCTAAGAAATCAAGTTAGAAAGAGAATCAATATTTTAAAACCAGAAATAATTTTAATAATTGTATCTAAGTTTAGTCAACCCATCAATAAGAGTAAATGTAAACAATTTATTTCGGGATAACTCAGCTAGGGATTCCTGCATTTACCTGTTAAGATGAAAGCTTGAAGCTGTTCACTAACATCATCATCATCATAAGGTAATCAGTCCTAAGACTGGTTGGACACGTACCTCCACTCTTTCCTATCCTGAGCTAAACTTCGCATTTCCCTAAAACTAGAACAGCCCACATCCTTAACTATTTGCGAACAGTAAT